AAAGGAAGAAAACCTGTCGTTTCATTCTAGGGCTTTTAACCAGGCTTGCATTAGGGCTCATAAAACAGCAAATATGCAATTTTCAGCCCAACCAATGTTACACACCCTATTCAAAGACCTTAAGGACTAGCACCAAATACCCTATAGAATCATTCTATGTTCCCTTTAAGAGGAGCCTCAAAGGACACATCTTGCTCTTTTTGCCTATCTTGTTGACTAGCTGATCACCACAGAAATTATAAACAGAAAGAGCAGAAAAAAAAAAGAAACAAAAATAGGTTATCTGCTGATTATACCTGCTAAAGAAAATCTAATTAAAATGTGTTTTTTGGCCTTGACTTGACTTGAGCGTTCCTAAAGTAATATCTAGAGATAAAGTAAAACTCTAATGCAATGGCTACTGGGCGATGTCATGAAATGGGCATCACCAACACATGGAGAGGTGGCATCAAGTCGCAATGAAGGTAAGTGTGTTTTTCTTTAAGGTTGGAAATAAGGCACCAGAAACAGCATAAACTTTAAAACAAATGAATACTCTGCAATGCAAAAGGACATACTTCTTCATAATTATACCTGTAATTAATTGTGGAAGGCTAAAAAAGCAATGATACAGAATTCTTTAAAGTTCTGCCACTGCCAGCTTGGGGTTTAAACAGACCATGGCTCTATTCGGATTTATGGGCTGCGTCCTCAGAAGGCCAGATTCAAAGGCTGATTACGGCGCCGAGTTCTGGTCGGATTCCAAAACTCCTCATAATGCGGCCTTAAAATGCCTCCTTCTTTTTGCCTGTTTTGAAGGAAGGGTCCGATGTGTCCTCTCTATCCTTGTTTATCCCTGGATTCATTGCGAGACAAAGCAAGCCAGCTGCTCTGTGATCAGAGGAAAAAGGTACTTGGCGCTAAACAGTGATGAATATTAGAAGTTCAGGATAAGTTATCTGCAGTGTGGGGACTATGAATCTGGTAGGATTTTTATTTTTTAGTTGCTATTTTGCACAATTTGCTTAACTACGTATTTTTTGTTGTTGAATATAAGAGATTTTGCAGATGTACTTTTTTATTCATACATTGTTTAGATTTCGTTTCCACCTTTATTTCACTCTGTATTCTTATTAGTGTAGTCTTTGTTCACTTTACAATTAGATAATAGGGAAAAAAATGAAAAAGAAACAGTTTTGAAAAGTTTGATAGTCATCTTTTTCTCCTTTGTGTGTCTACTCTCACGGCTTCTAAACGACAGAGCATACAGCGGTGAAAGCTGCCAAAGGCTAGACCTGTTTAAATTCACAGCCAAAACTCTTCCGGTCTCCTTATGTTTGGGGACTTTGAAGGATCCAGTCCAGGTAGAACGCGTCCTTGGAGGATGGAGCCCATAAATTCGAACAGAGCCAATGTTAACAGACATGTATTGTCTACTTGTTCTGACATTAATTGACTTTTTGGTTCTTTTTAAGTTTCTTTTT